AAAAAAAAGTAGAAATTGTGGGGGGGGGGGGGGGGGAGGCGGTTAAAATTTTCACAAGCCGGTTTCTCCATTTCTATTAATTTGAGAACAAAATATATTTTCTTACGAACGCCGTTTCGCTTGCGTTCTCGATTCTGAAAGCCTCATTATAAACATTCGGAAAATGCAATGTGTTTTAAAAGAAAGGTATGGTGCTTTCTGGGATACCACAGCCGCACTTCCGATGGGAAACTCAAGGTATCTGTTTATATGTTTATAGAAATGTAACCAAAATATTTTCCTTCTTAGCAATTGTAGACTAATTATATTTGCTACTAACTCAACCAGCGAAGGGGGTGTCAATGAAGTGCGGCCCTTGAAGTGTGGTGTAAATAAAGTGTGGTCACTGAAGTGTGGTCACTGAAGGGTTGTGTCATTGAAGGGATATGACATTAAAATGCTGTGTCATTGAAGGGTTGTGACATTGAAAGGTTGTGTCATTGAAGTGTTGTGACATTGAAGGGGTTTACATTGAAGGGTTGTGTCATTGAAGGGTTGTGTCATTGAAGGGTTGTGACATTAAAATGCTGTGTCATTGAAGGGTTGTGTCATTGAAAGGTTGTGTCATTGAAGGGTTTTGTCATTGAAGGGTTTTGTCATTGAAGGATTGTGTCATTGAAGGGTTGTGTCATTGAAGGGTTGTGACATTAAAATGCTGTGTCATTGAAGGGTTGTGACATTGAATGGTTTGTCATTGAAGGGTTATGTCATTGAAGGGTTGTGACATTGAAGGGTTGTGACATTGAAGGGTTGTCATTAAAAGGTTGTGACAATAAAAATGTTATGTCATTGAAGGGTTGTGACATTGAAGGGTTGTCATTGAAGGGTTGTGACAATAAAAATGTTATGTCATTGAAGGGATGTGACATTAAAGGGTTGTGTCATTGAAGGGTTGTGTCATTAAAGGGTTGTGACAATAAAAATGTTGTGTCATTGAAGGGTTGTGACATTGAAGGGTTGTGACATTGAAGGGTTGTGTCATTGAAGTGTTGTGAAATTGAAGGGTTTTTTTCATTGAAGGGTTTTGTCATTGGAGGGTTGTGACATTAAAGTTGTCTGACATTGGACGGTTGTTCCAATGAAGTGTGGTGACATTGAAGTGTGTTGACATTGAAGGGTTGTGTCATTGAAGTGTGGTCATTGAAGTGTGATCTTCCAAGGGTGGTGTAAGTGAAGGGTGAAACCTTAAGTTCTAGAGTTTATTCCCTGACAAGTTCAATGCTACATAAACCAACTCTGATAAATGTGACAAGTTCAATGCTACATAAACAAACTATGTTAAATGTGACAAGTTCAGTGCTACATAAACCAACTCTGATAAATTTGACAAGTTCAATGCTATATAAACCAACTCTGATAAATGTGACAAGTTCAATGCTACATAAACCAACTCTGGTAAATGTGACAAGTTCAATGCTACATAAGCCAACTCTGATAAGTGTGACAAGTTCAATGCTACATAAACCAACTCTGATAAATGTGACAAGTTCAGTGCTACATAAACCAACTCTGATAAATGTGACAAGTTCAATGCTACATAAACCAACTCTGATAAATGTGACAAGTTCAATGCTACATAAACCAACTCTGATAAATGTGGCAAGTTCAATGCTACATAAACCAACTCTGATAAATGTGACAAGTTCAGTGGTACATAAACCAACTCTGATAAATTTGACAAGTTCAATGCTACATAAACCAACTCTGGTAAATGTGACAAGTTCAATGGTACATAAGCCAACTCTGATAAGTGTGACAAGTTCAATGCTACCTAAACCAACTCTGATAAATGTGACAAGTTCAGTGCTACATAAACCAACTCTGATAAATGTGACAAGTTCAATGCTACATAAACCAACTCTGATAAGTGTGACAAGTTCAATGCTACATAAACCAACTCTGATCAATGTGACAAGTTCAATGCTACATAAACCAACTCTGATAAATGTGACAAGTTCAGTGCAACATAAACCAACTCTGATAAATGTGACAAGTTAAGTGCTACATAAACCAACTCTGATAAATGTGACAAGTTCAATGCTACATAAACCAACTCTGATAAATGTGACAAGTTCAGTGCTACATAAACCAACTCTGATAAATGTGACAAGTTCAGTGCTACATAAACCAACTCTGATAAATGTGATAAGTTCAATGCTACATAAACCAACTCTGATAAATGTGACAAGTTCAATGCTACTTAAACAAACTATGATAAATGTGACAAGTTCAGTGCTACATAAACCAACTCTGTTAAATGTGACAAGTTCAATGCTACATAAACCAACTCTGATAAATGTGGCAAGTTCAATGCTACATAAACCAACTCTGATAAATGTGACAAGTTCAGTGGTACATAAACCAACTCTGATAAATGTGACAAGTTCAGTGCTACATAAACCAACTCTGATAAATGTGCCAAGTTCAGTTATATATAAACAAACTCTGATAAATGTGACAAGTTCAGTGCTACATAAACAAACTCTGTTAAATGTGATAAGTTCAGTGCTACATAAACCAACTCTGTTAAATGTGACAAGTTCAGTCCTACATAAACCAACTCTGTTAAATGTGACAAGTTCAGTGCTACATAAACCAACTCTATTAAATGTGACAAGTTCAGTGCTACATAAACCAACTCTGATAAATGTGGCAAGTTCAATGCTACATAACCAACTCTGATAAATGTGGCAAGTTCAGTGCTACATAAACAAACTCTCATAAACGTGACAAGTTCAGTGCTACATAAACCAACTCTGATAAATGTGACAAGTTTGGTGCTACATAAACCAACTCTGATAAATGTGGCAAGTTCAGTGCTACATAAACCAACTCTGATAAATGTGACAAGTTCAGTGCTACATAAACCAACTCTGATAAATGTGACAAGTTCAGTGCTACATAAACCAACTCTGTTAAATGTGACAAGTTCAGTGCTACATAAACCAACTCTGATAAATGTGATAAGTTCAATGCTACATAAACCAACTCTGATAAATGTGACAAGTTCAATGCTACTTAAACCAACTCTGATAAATGTGACAAGTTCAGTGCTACATAAACCAACTCTGTTAAATGTGACAAGTTCAATGCTACATAAACCAACTCTGATAAATGTGGCAAGTTCAATGCTACATAAACCAACTCTGATAAATGTGACAAGTTCAGTGGTACATAAACCAACTCTGATAAATGTTACAAGTTCAGTGCTACATAAACCAACTCTGATAAATGTGGCAAGTTCAGTTATATATAAACAAACTCTGATAAATGTGACAAGTTCAGTGCTACATAAACCAACTCTGATAAATGTGACAAGTTCAGTGCTACATAAACCAACTCTGATAAATGTGACAAGTTCAGTGCTACATAAACCAACTCTAATAAATGTGGCAAGTTCAATGCTACATAAACCAACTCTGATAAATGTGACAAGTTCAGTGCTACATAAACCAACTCTGATAAATGTGACAAGTTCAGTGCTACATAAACCAACTCTGATAAATGTGACAAGTTCAGTGCTACATAAACCAACTCTAATAAATGTGGCAAGTTCAATGCTACATAAACCAACTCTGATAAATGTGACAAGTTCAGTGCTACATAAACCAACTCTGATAAATGTGACAAGTTCAGTGCTACATAAACCAACTCTGATAAATGTGACAAGTTCAGTGCTACATAAACCAACTCTAATAAATGTACAACTTTTGTTTTTGCAGCAATGTTCCCCCTCCCCATCTCCCAGTTATCTTTTTATTACTTGCTTCCAACATCTACATGTGACCAAATGCTTTGTTATCTAACTATTTCAATTTACACAAAACGAATTTTTTAATCTTGGGGTGATACTAATATTAAATAATAATGTGATGCATACCTCCTAGTACTTCTGGATATTTCTTTCATTGACCTCTCCTGCCTGGCCTTGATGAGCCTCTCGGTCAAACATTTGGTCCTCTGCCTGGTGCTGGGCAGACCGACCTCCTCGTACGCGTCCTCTTCGTCCCCTCCACCAGGACTCTCATCTCCCGGGAGGAGGACCTCCACCGTGTCGCTCAGGCTGTTTCTCTTGGCCGCAGACTTTTTCCTGCGGACACGTATGGTGGCCAGAAACTGTCGCGCTTCCTTGATATCCTCGAAGCGTAGGCTCTCCACCGACTGACCATCGCCGTCGCCCTCAAAGCCACAACTGATCTGCTGCTTGAGCTGCTTGAAGTACTCGTAGCCGTTGCGGCTGGCGTCGCGCCTGTGCCTCAGTGTTAAGTGGCGGTCAGTGCGGGTTGACGTGCCGTAGAGGTTGTGTCCAGTTCCGTTGTCCACCATGTCGTGCATTTCTAAATTCACCGAGGGGAGATTGCGACTCCGCCCGGCGTAGGGGTCATCGGGTGGAAGAACGCGACCGTTCAGTGGATTATCCTCCGCCGCGTCAACGTCGTAATCCGCCGGCGGCTCCGGGTCTGAGTCCACGTTAATCCCAACGGCTTGGTACCCGTGGGGGTATGGACCGTACCTCGTTGGATCTTGGCGATGGGGTAGTCCACGGCCATCGCTATCCGGGCCCGCCCTTTGACCGCGACGGTCGTGGACATTGCCGGTACTGTCTCTATAATAATCCATCGTATTCAATTTCCACAGAGCGTGTCATGGACTGGAACTTTGAAACTGACACTTTGCCACCCGTTAACAAACAAAAATAATTCCAATAGGATTATATCACGGCATCATTCTCCCTGATTTAAGAGATAAAGCCCTTTGTTAAAAAAAAAAAAAATTCCGAATGCGTTTACCAAGGATATTAGTCGATTTTAAACACAGTCATTCGAACTCATAAGCCCCATTGAAAACGTTCTCCTTTTTTTTAGGAAAAAACACGTTCTTTGTGTCTACTTTCCGATCAACGACAGGTGATGGAAATATAACGGTAACGTTTTGCTTTGACACATTCTATCTTGTGTTACTAACAGATTTTTACTTCAGAACTGATCACGGCAACTCTACTGAAACACGGCAACTCCACTGAACGCGACAACTCCACTGAACACAAGTTACTCTTCAAACAGGTTCTCGATGAGACGTGGTTACGTCACAAATACTACTGCTGTAATCTCAGGTCGGTTATTTATATGTGTACGTCCGTCAACCCCCCCTCCGGCCCCCACACCCACCCACCCCTCCGGGGGGGGGGGGGGGGAAGAGGTGACAGGTATGTACATCGCGATTTGTTAAATGTAGATTAGTTGGGCATGGGAAGGAAAGGCTAAGTCAAGGTTGGGTAGCGCAGCATAACTTCGGCCATGGAGATAAAGCAACGCAGCTAGTTTGTCCCTTTAAAAGGTATAATTTACGTACAAGAGAGATGAGTTTAAACCGTAGAGCCGGTACTCCCTTTTGATTGTGTGGGGGGCAACAAAGCTTTATTTTTAGAAGACCAGTCGTGTGTATTTTTAGAATGTGTCCGTCCTTCTCCTAGCACACTCTCGTATAATGTTCCGCTATCATGAACTCAATCACGGGCTCCTTCGCTGAACTGAACGTTAGTTAGATGCTGGTCATATTTTGGACACCCGCTAGCTCTGGAACTGTTGGCGATCTCTATGAATGGAATAGTTGACGGGGGGGGGAGAGGGGGGGGGGGGGGGGGGAGGAGGGACAGGACACCCAACCAGGTAGGATTTTTGGAACACCTTTTAAGATCTAGCGGAGAATGACCTTTTACTTGGTACACCTATATTAATTACTGGGCTCTATCATATCCCCACCCCCCATACAAAACTCACTGATTCTCAGCTTGTAGTAAGATTGTGATGCTTGAAAGTATGGAGGTAGTTAAATTTTTGCTTTGACTGATTTTTAATTTCATATACATAACATTTACGTGTGCATGTTAAAAAGACTGAAAAAAAAACAAAAACAACAAAGTGTTAAAAAGTAGCATTATTGATCACGTGGCCAATAGGCCAAGCTTATCCTCAACCTTTCAAGAAAGAAAGAAAATAGTAACATATAGACATTTTGCGCCTAGTCGCGTATGACTGGTTTCCAATGCTGAAACCTTACTCTTTTGAAATGCAACATAACCTTTGTGCTGTGCACCACGAACACAACACTTAAACATTAGCCAAATGGTTTGGGGGGGGGGGG